TTGGAGGCTAGTGACGGAGGGGCAATCTGATCGTGTGTGTGTGCGTGCGTTTTTGGCTCCTCTCATTTGGCCGTTTTTAACAGGAAGTCCGTGGACTGAGTGAGATGACAGACTGAGTGTGTGCGTGAGTGAGTGCGTCTTCCTGATCGGTAACAGATGACTGTGATGTACAGTTGATGTAATATTGCAAATGGGAGGTGAGTAAAGAGGTGACTCTAGGATCCAGGTTTTGTATTTTTATTCTTGTATAAGGTTATTGGGCCGCTCCGTTCTGGCCTGGCTTCTGTGTTATTTAAATTCTAATATATGAAAGCATATTTGGATTGAAGTCATGTTCCAGGGCCTTGCTGTGTATGTATTGAAAATGTAAAGCCTTTGAATGTGAAGAATTATTGTAAACTATGATATTTTACAGCTTTTGTTTTCTTACTATATCATATACATTTTCTATTTGCGCAGTGATTGGCTCATTTCTGATAATTTAATGCCTGTGTGCGCACGGCCCCACTTGTCTGTGTGTGTGCGCGTGCGTGTGTCTGTGTGTGTGATACGGTGTGTGTGTGCGTGTGGGGCCCTTGTAGGCAATGTGTGTATTCTTCTTGTCGGCCTTTTGTGCTCGGCAAAACCTAGAACTGAAATAAAGCATGTAGGGTTTTAGGCCAACAAACACAGTCTCTTTGTGTATCTTCATGTGTTTGAATAGTATTTATTTTTATTTTAAAGTTTTTTTTTTTCCCCCCCTGACAGTCAAAAGAAAAATGATTTCCTGCATAAAGGAAAAAAATTAAGCATACTTTTATAAATGTTAAGAACATCTTAATTTTCCAAACAATCTTTTTGCTAAATATATTTTTTATTTTAAATATATATAATGTGTTATTTACAAGTCAGATTCACAAATCGTGAAATCAATCAGACCCCCACTCATTAAGAGTGTCACTAATACCTGTATGGAAATCTGAATCTGCCGCCCTCTATAGTAAACACATGGAATTTCACATTTGTTCCTGCAGCCTTCCAGTCTAATATATGGGCTTTGTCTCAAAGCCAGTGGGTTTTTGAGAATCACAAGCATCATATGATGACCAATAAAGGTTTTATTACAAGTATTGCACCCGTAATGTAGAAAAAAAGAGGCTGTTTAGATGGGCTGCTCACTTTTTAAACACAAATTTGAGCCACATTTTAATTCCCATGAGTTCAAATCCGGATATTCTTTCTGAAATCTGTAGCATTAAAGGAGTAGTTCACTTCCAGAATGAAAATTCTACCATCATTTACTTACCCTCCACTTGTTCCAAACCTGCATGAGTTTCTTTCTTCTGTGGAATACAAAAGAAGATGTTTTGAAAAATATTAGTATCCGAACAGTTGATGGGCAGAATTTTCATTCTGGAAGTGAACTATTCCTTTAATAAATCCAAATCTTTGCGTCGAATCGGTTCGTTCGGACGATTCGCTTCAACCTAGCTATTCACAACCGAGTTAAGAATTCACCGCGCGGTATTTTACGTTCATTTTATTGTAAAATCGCTGTTTAGGACTGTGTTTTCACTATTCGGTTTAATAAATTGTTTTGAGTATTGTTTTTTGTACTAATATTACTTCTGACAGCAATATTATTAATATAGGGTGAATTCGGGTAATCTGGGACATTTTTTGCAATTTTGACTTCTGCGATTTATTTCGATATCTATCTAACACATTAGATCAACACATTAGACTTTTCTGAAATCCCTAAGATGTTTTCTAACCACACCAGAAGAAAGAATGAAAACTAAAACACATTTTCAACACTTTAATACATATTTTGTTGCTTGAATAGATCACAAACATAATTTGACAACAATTAGGAACATTGTATTATTTATGACAGATTTATGTCCTTAACATTAATCTAGTCAGGATCCTATGTCACTGACCTTGTCATGCACTTCCCAGGGGAGCTTCTTGATTGACAAGTGCCCCGCCCCTTTCTGTGGAATCACCCCAATGAAGTCATGTGATTTCAGTCACATGACATCTATGCTAAAATTATAGTAAAAGTCCTGTTGACTAAATTTTGTTAGAACAGGAAATAAACACACTGGAGTTTAGGTGTCCCAGATTACCCGAATTCACCC